AACCTCATAGGAAGCGGCTCTGAGGAAGGCGAAATCCGCCGAAACGTCAGCTTAATCGTGAACAAAGAATAGTAACACCTCGCGTTTGCTCAACAAAAATACGAAAGTCTTAGAAAATTGTTTTATTATCGTGGTGTTGTTTTTACTTTTACTACTATTTGAAAGTGATTCCTCCAGGGTATTGGTGTGGCAGCAAACATATGACGTCAGTAAGTGATCACAACATTTGTTCAAGTTGTTGACGTCATCCGTGTACTACTCATCTGTGGAACTTAAATGAATACTGTTTTAACACATTCACGGCCCAATGTGTTTCTTCTCTTGTCATTGGTTTTGTCTCACCTTTTTTTTTCTTACTACACTTTTATATACGCTCGAAAAGTTTCCCATTGGGATTCTAGGTGAGGTCCGACATAGGCTGTCTTTTGCACATAATGATTTACAAAGGGCTTTGTAGTGTTCCCTGGTGGTATCTCTGGCGAGCGTGGCACAATGAGGAGGGTACTAAGATGTCTGTGCTTTTGCTTCACAAGTAGAAATATGAATGCAGATATCTTGCGATGCTTTCTAGCGTTCTTTTACTGAGTAACACGAACACGTGCTAATGAGCATGGAACTAGAGATGCTTTCTGTGAGAAGTATAACAGGTATGCATCTTATTCAATGCATAAGGTAGGGGTTAAAATTAGGCGCACTCTCACAAGGCCAGAAATGGAAATTTGGACTTTATCGTGAATGTGTCAACAAACATCACACAGTTTTACGGAGAAAGTTGAATTCAGCATCGAATTTCGATCTTCAAAATTTCGTTTTGTTCAGTTTTGTGGATGTCGTTAAGGTTGATCCGTTACATTTGTTATCGTACTTAAAGTATAGTCATAGAATAACTCAACGTTTTTTACATTAACTCACTTACAGCCTATGCTCAGATGGTTGGGGGTGTTCGGTTGCTTGCATGCGGTCGTTTGGCCGTTAGGGCCATCTTTTCTGCTTCTGCTCTTGACATCGGTGAGTTATTATAAAATTATAAACTGTAGTTGCAATTGATTTAAACAGTTCTGTGAACTTTTTACCAAGTTGGATAAAATTATATGGAATATTTAATTTTTTCACGGTCTAGGTCTTTCCGTCATACTGGAACAACTATTGGTTCTATACACTAAACAAATCGCTTACTCGTTACATGAAAGCTCTTTGTACTTCTGAGACTGCAAAAGGAAAGAATTAAACCCGACATCAGTCGGCAAATTGATTCACTCAGAGCTTTGCCTAAATAGGGGAGTCTTCAGAGAAGAAGAAAATCTGTGTTAACCTCTGCGCTGATTTCTTCGTAATATTTGTTTCAATATTATTTTAGTTGATACTGTCTTGCAAAAAAAAAACGAGCAGCTGAATCCCTACACTTCTTTTAATTCACATATAGCCTATAGAAAATGTTTATGAATGACTAGTGCAGAAACAAACTTAAGCGCAAGAGTTATGTGGTGCACGAGAAATTCATTACTAGTGGGGCATCAAGCTTTAGCTCACTTTGCTCGCATTATCTGTTCTGGACACAAAGAGTCTGCAAATGGAATGGTTAACCGGTTTTCATGCGTTTCGAAGGGAGTTTTGTAAGGTATTCTTCTATGTCGTCATTAAGAGGATTGACGTAAAGCCACACTTGTTAAGTGGTCGGACGAATTAGATTGCTGGATTTTTTATGAGGACATGAATGTGCATTTCACACTTACGAGGTTCTTTTTCTGAATTGTATGCTTTTATACCGTTTTTTCAACTGCACTATTTTAAGTATTTCTATTTTGTTTTATGTCTTCTACCGTTACGTGCTATGCGGAGCGCCTCTTCCACTCGGTTCGTCGTCTCGAATCTATAACACCAAAAGTTTTTGGATTTGCGTGTGGCTTCGGTTGCTGCTTCATCATTTTTTGATCGTCTTTATGAATGCTGTTGAATGGTCGTTCTGTCGGTTCCTCCTGGCATCGTAGATGGCCGTGCGGGATGTGGGGCTTGCTTCTGAGCGAATTTGAACCTTGTGTAAAGTTTATCACTTAAAATGAGAACATAAAAGTTATGCATGCATACTAGCTTGTGATAAACTTAGATATTCCATTTATCTAGATCCCTTTGAATGTCTGCATTTCTACTCTGTTATGCTGTCGGTAGTTTTACATTTGAGAAGGTCCTGTTAAATCTCTTAATTAGTCAGTTTCTCTTCAGTTGAGTCCTTTTAGAATTTGAAGGTGGTGGGATGTTATTTCAATGCAGGCTCCAAACTTTTTGCTATAGCCGTCGAACAGTCGCACTGCGCTTGCTGTAACCGGTATCATTAACATGTCGACTTTAAACTATGATTTTGGATGCTCCACAATCGTCATTTGCGAGTTCGATGCACAGGTTCACGCTTTTGAACCGACTATGGTTGCTGCATTCGTGTACGAAACCGTTCCTGTTTGAGCCATTGATGTTCTAGGAATCTATTGTAGTTTTACGTCCACTTTATTTTTCCTATAGACAAATAGAGCGGTGTAATATTGATTTATGCTAGGAATTGGTGAAGCACTTGGGTACGGTTTTCCGTCTTCATTAGTAGTTCTGGCCTTAGTATATTTTCCATTCGTTTCTTTGGAAGCCATTGTCCATCGTGGTGACTTGCATCGAACATGGTGACCTCGTCAACACACATCCCATCATCTTGAAATCATTTCAATCTACGGGTGCAAATAGTTGGCGTAACCACAAAAACATCCGCCGATCGTTTATGTGGTTTTCCGAAACGAGGCTTGCATTCCCTTCGAGTCCACTCCACTGTTCTTTTTCTCTATCTGTCATCTATTCTTTTCGTTATGTGATTGGCATTTATGTTTCGCCGTCGATGTGTATTCTCCTGTATCTTGTAGATAGGGTAAATTTCGATTACCTGAGCTAGGCATCTCGGTTCGACATTAAGAGTGGCGGTTAAATTTCGCAAGACATCGTTCATGCGCTCTATGGGTAGTTCACGGAGTTCGTGGTAGAAGTAACAGCAACTAAGACATAACAGAGCGCTAGAAAGTCTTCCGTCGAATGGGGAGAGTGGAGTTTTGAGTCGATCACTTAATCGGCGGTTCCTCTGAATCACCCAAATGAGGCCCTTGGCGCTTATTCTTCAGTCTCCTTCATGTTTTTCTCCATATTCGCTAATCGCCCGTAGGACACGGTATACGAAAAGATTTCTGTAATCGGAAAACCATCTAGCTGGAGTTGTTCTCCTACGCACCACGGCTTTTTCTTGAACTGAGTCCTCGTCTTATTTGTGGGCATTTCAATTTTTTTTCCGTTATCTTTGAGTTCATTGAGCATTATCTCTGCCTTACCGGTAATCCTCGAAAAGATGAGGATGGCATCAGCCAAAGGATGATTTGACAGGAAGTTTCCACTAATCCCTACTCTCCTCTCATCTCAGTCGAACGACTTCGTTATCCACTGAAATTTCGAAGTGCGTTTAGAAGTAAATTGGTTAGATCGACTAACGTAAGCTGTCAGAAGGCGGATTTTGAGTTATAAAATTGTTTGTTAAACTTTCATCCATTAAAATTCTTTTTAAAAAGTAGCACATGAAACCTCCATATTTCAAAGTCGTCATTTTATGCTAAACAATGATATGCAACGGTTGCCTATGTATATCTTATCGTTTCTTGTACCGCATCAGTTTAAGACGAAAATAGTGTTAGCTCAGAGCATTGAGCTCTATTTGAGGGAGGAATTTATTGGTGTCGCTGAATAAGACGCCGATTTCCTTCTCTGATAGCTAATTTTTGCAGGATCAGCAGTGACTTCAACATGCGCAGACGCATCTCTTCCGAAGAGAAATTTAGCCACTGTTCCGGCATGTGAAAACTCGTCTCCACTTCCATCTTCTTCACCAGTAGTAGCTAGCTGCGCTGGTTTCCCCAAGGTTTGAAACTACCTTTTTCTTCTATTTCTGTATATTTACATTAGCAGGAAGCGTTCAGGGCAAGTTAGCCCTTCATATCTTCCCCTCGCGAGTTTTGTGTGTGATGCTGATATCTTCTGAGTATGATGACTTTCTTGCGAGTGTGAGTAGACAACTTCCCCTAGAGTCATCATTTGGTTGGTAGATCATTTTTCTAGCTACCAACACAAGTTTATGTTAGCTACAAACATACCTGTTCATCTGGTAGGTGGTAGGTTTAGAAGTTGTCTCTATTCTCAACTTTCAACTTCTCGTAAGGATGTTGCCAGCAAAGTCAACGGTTCATAAGAAATTGGCGTCGGTATGTATGTCCATTTAGTTCACTCAGACGATTTTTCATTGTTCACTTCATTAGCGACTGTGGTGAGGCGTGTGAACCAGTCGTGTAATTTTTCTTACAGGGTTGATTAAGAGATGGTGAATGTGTATGTATTTTGCTGATGCAACTGCCGCTGGATTATGCCTGTATAGTTGTGAATACATCTGATTTATGTTGGTTATAAACATGTCCGCCCATCTCATAAGTACTCTATGTAGAAGACGTTTGTATCCTCAACTTTCAACCTTCGAAATGATGTCGTTAGCAAAGTTTAGGTTTTCATTACTCACTTCGTTAACAGCTGTGGAGAACTCTGTAGGTTATTTGAGTAACTTTCAGTTTAGTGAGGGTTGATTAAGGATTGGCCGTTGGATTGTTTTTATATAGAACTCTCGTAATATTCCCTAGTGGAACAGCGCTGATATGTAGAATCTGGTTCATACAATATCGCTTTTTCGTTCAGCTCGGATATGTCCGATTTAGTGATGTTAGTGGAACTCGCATAGAATCTAAACGTAAAGCAAATACAGTTTCTTTTATAGTAGTTGGTATTACCACCTCATATGATCACCTTTAATAGGGAAAATGTAGACGTGCGAGCTCCTCCACTGTTAAGGTTTTTTTTCTTTTGAGCATGTTGTTGTCATGTGGAAAGCGAAAATTGGTGATAGTTTGTAGTTTAATTTCTACTCGAAGAGTGTTGGCTATAATTTTGTTTCGTTTTCAGCGGCGTTTCACTTTATGTTCTTGATACGAACTGTGAGTTCAATTGGTGGAATTTAGCAGTTTTTCTTCAGTGATTTGGATCTGTTTTGGGAGTTATGATTGTGGAACGGAAGAAAACAGATATGGCTTTTCCGTTATCGATTTTATATTGTAGTGCTGATAGTTGGAATTCAGTGTTCATTCAACGGAATCTACAGAAACATTGGGTTTACACAGAACCCGACAGCATTTATTTACACTGATTCTTTTCTCATCGGTAAGAAGCTCTAAAGGTGTCAGCGTTGATCAATCCTTGGAGGGATGCGCCATGCATTCGACTTCACTAAGCATTGTTTAGAGGTAACTGAATGCATACCTGGCGCTTACAATGACTCGTGTTGGCTTACTGATATATCGACCCAGTACCGCTATCCTCCCACATAAATCTGGCACCGGTTTACCGACCCCGGAGTGATGGAAGGCTTGGCGAGCCTAGGGCGCGAGGATTGATCCCATGTGTATTGAAAGGCGCCTCCGCCCACTGCGCTATACGCACCTCTTTTCTCATCGATAGTGGTGGAAATGTCATCTCAATTTCCTCGTTGAAGAACTGAGGCGTGTTTAACAAACCTTTGAAGTTTTTTGACTAGCATATTCAAGTCTTAGGCGATCTTGTTAATCTGTCAGTAACCTAGGGAATGGGTGTTGATCAGAATTTTCTCATCATGTGTGACCTATCAGTTTGTTCTTGTATTATTATAGGGATATTTTTCACGACTAAATCAATTCTTCGCACTCATAAGATAGGATCGAGTCCAATACTGAAATCCAGCACAATGTGTCAAAGGAGTACCGTCTTCTGTTTCAAACAACATGATCGATATCCGTATCGATCTTGCGAACCTTTATTCACTCTCAGTTCTTTCCCAATCTGGTGTCGATGTTTCAAAAAGTATTGAGAAGGCCTTACGTTGCTTGTCGTATAGCAGAAGTACTACTCATTGAACGCGTCCATGCTTCCTCACATTTGCACAGTTTGGAGAGTAGTAATTAACGGTTCTGATCTCTGGGTGTACAGCAAAACCTACTCCACTGACACTTTTTGGATGTTTTCTCTACGAATGGCAAAGCTGTCTTCATTAAATTACATGGCGTTTATCGGACATTTTCTTTTTGTAATGTGGAGAGATAAAGTCAGATATAATTTCACCTTCGACCTCAAGAAGAGTTTTTCATAGATCATCACGCCATACGGTCTGCAGATTGCTGAAACTTTGCGCTTCGGGGGAATATTTGGCACGAATTGGTTAAGAGGACGACGGTGATTCGTTGGTATTGCTTTATTCCTAACTAAACTTCCGGATGGAAATCTTGAACTTGTTGTCGGTTTGGAAAATTTCGCTGGCTGACTAGTTCACGCTGTGCATATTATGTTGACATCCGGAAGCCATCTTTTTTTCCTTGACCGATGTGACACGATTAACCCCATGGAATTGTTAGGCCTTCAATGTTGAATTTCTGTACAACTGTTTCAAATGGCTCCTGACATTGTGTTACTTCCATCTTTCTTCCTATGCTGTATTCGTATATCTTTGCAAGAAATAGCCCTTCATGGCAGCACTTCAAAAAGCAGTTTCTTTTGAAGTTCTTCATCTGCAGATATGGAATTTAATCTGGCTTTCCTCGTTTTTTAATACTTTTTAATGATTCATGCTTTCAATGACACCTAGTGTGGCCCCTCTTGAAGGATTAGTGCATATTGTGGGACATACTTTTTTGTTCTTCACTATGTCTCCTTTATTGGGAGCTTAATAGTTTTATGAATCTTGAATTTTATACTTAGACTGCTTCAGGATATGCAGAATGGTCCTTCTACCGTTCTGGACACTGGTATGTATGGTGATGATGCATGTTTCATATCGAGGTTCAAGAACACATTTGTTGTCGGTAAATTTATGTGAATTTGAAGTTGTGATTTGTTGTAACTGGTGGTAAGACTCACATTTTCAGGAGTTGCTGACGGCGTGGGTGGATGGCGCAAGTATGGGGTTGACCCATCAGAATTCAGTAGGAAGCTTATGCGGGAGTGTGAAAAGCGCGTCGTCAGTGGTGATTTTGACCCGCGAAAACCAGAAACACTGCTTGAGAAAGCCTTTAAAGCTACAGCAGAGGCACCACGACCAGTTGGTGAGCGGTGTATCACCATTTTATTGTTCTGCTGAGCTATTTTCGTTTCGATTAGGGTCGTCAACGGCATGTGTTCTGGTTGTTCATCAAGAAACGTTATATTCTGCGAATCTGGGTGATTCTGGTTTTATGGTAGTACGAAATGGTCGAGTGATCACAAAAAGCGAAGAACAAGTGCATTACTTCAATGCTCCTTTTCAACTCACCCTTCCTCCTGAAGGTGACTTCTGCTGTACTGTTCCCGTACTGTTCATTCTATTCGCTTATAAAATGTAACCTGCAGATATTTCTGAATGTTCTCTATCATAAACAATGCTCGGTTTTGCAAGTGATTTTTTAGGCTATCGTGGTTTCATCGGCGACACACCGGACTTGGCTGATAAGTCCGAAATTCGTGTTCAGAAAGGTGACATCGTAGTTCTAGCTACTGACGGATTATGGGACAATCTCACTGAACAACATGTACTTGATCAACTTCGACCACTCATTGAAGAGAAGGCTACTGTACAAGAAGTGAGCTTCTGCTTTCCATGAAACTGAGCGAATAGCATGTCCTTTAGTGTCTGCCACTCATGAGAAGGGCGAGAGAGCTAGATAACCAAACTAATGCTAGAGTAGACATTGTAACCTACAATCTTGTTATTTTTCGGATGCTTTTTTTTCGTCGAAGTTTTTCGGCTTGCAGGTCTGTAATGCTCTTGCGCTGACAGCACGACGCCTCTCATTTGATGCTACACATAATAGTCCATTTGCGGTGAAAGCGCGAGAGCATGGACTATCAGCGGTTGGTGGGAAACCTGACGACATCACTCTTGTACTTCTCCTTATTGTTTGACTACTTTAATGTTGATTACACTACTCATTTGGTAGAACGTGTTATGGAGTTCTTGTTTCATGATATTAGAACATGCTTAACACGTCCAGTGCCCATCGTGTACTACTGGTCATAGCGGGTTTCTTCCGTAGTGTCAGCCATTTGAATACGTGACATCAGTTTGTAGTTCCCCAAATTCGTTGGGCGTTGATGAAAATCCAATTGCTCAAATCTAGGCGTAATGTTATTTTTCAATGATTTATAGTGTTCGTGACAGAACTTCTTTTACAAAATGAGCGCTAGAAGTCTGCACAAGTAACTTTTTTGTGGAATAAGCTATGAACCGCGCTATTGTTATTGTTAGGAAGGCGTTACTCTTTTGTTCCTTTTATTTAAGTGTTACATTATCGGTTTATTTGATGATACATGTAATGTGCTGTTAACTGTGTATTACTCAAGCGGCTCAACCGTGAATAGTGAGTGCTCTCGGAATTCTTTATGCAGGTTGTTTTAGGTGTGTGTATCGTTGTAGTATGAACAGTAGGAAGGTCTGTTTTTAAAGTTCTGTTGAATTTATTAAACACAATAAAATGATGAAGATGTAAGTGTTCGGTTTTAGAACGTAGTACATGTGAAGGACCTAGCGTCGGTGAGTGAATGAATTAGCTTAGTTGCGCTTTCAGGATTTTTCAAAATTCACTTGATAAAATGCCAAATTCCGGTTTGATTCCAAAGCTGGGGAAGCTGCGAATGTTACATAGAAGAAAAAGTAGACTGAAGAAAGCGGAAGTACGTCATTTAAGCTGACGATGGAGTCCTTGTCATTCGTGGAGGAAAGGTGTTCTCACGAAGCAATGGTGACGTAGCCTTTGTTCTGTATTCTTCCATTGCACATATTTTTAGATGAAACACTAATACTTCACTTGGACAATTTAACTGCTAATCTATGTCAGAAGGGAGCCGCTATTGTTAGTTAGTGCTCTCCATTCTGATAACACCAAGCTGAGTACCTACCATAGTTATATGAGATGGTAAGCAGTGTGGTATACATGGATACTTGGTGGACCCATCCTCACTGGTTGCGTGATCCCAGCATATTCTCCATTTTTCGGAGTTTTTCTGGTTTTCCGTTGTGTTCCCCTGGAGTCCTGAGGTCAGCCTGGCCAAATTGTGCTCCAGGTTGTCACCACAACAGGCAGTCGCGGCCCTTGTAGATTAGAGGAAGATTTGCCACTATGCGACCAGCTTGATGATATTAGGATGGTGGTGGATCCTAGTACTAATTTACTGTTAGCTGGGCTTCCTGGTCAAAACGGCGAACTCTTCAGCTTGAAAGACCTTACCGGGAGGATGAATCCCCCCAATATACGTCGCAGTCCGACACCCAGGAACACCTTCTAGCCACGATGAGGCGGTAAACCGTCGGGGAACGTTGAAGGAGCAATGTGAGATACTACTATCCTCTGGAAACTTCAGCACTAGGTTAGAAAAGAAAAGGGAATATGAGTATAGGATGGGCAATTTTGAAATTGTAGATAAAAATGAAAATTTCGACCGCCGTCCTTGATCGTTTAGTGCTTAGTGGTGCGAGCCAAACGTTTCTCGAGAAAGGAAGAATTAAATGCTTGACTAGCACAGTACCAACATGGCCATTACTAAATTCCAGCTGCAAATCCTTGTCGGTGCAGAACTGCTGCGTCGGTCTTGTGGTATTATTTCTATGGGGCTTGGATCTATGTGTTAAACTCAACTAACTTAGCCTCTCGTTCCATACTGCCTCTCATAACTCTGGATTTGAAGATTCTACTCATGGCCTTGAAACGTCATTAGCATCAAATTCTCTAATGACGACGTTGTCAAACATTCTCTGTGTAGCTTTTCTATATCCATATAGAACGACACCTTACAACGGTTTACCGCCTCATAGTGGCTGCGAGGTGGTCCTGCGTGTTGGGCCGTGATGTACAGCGGAGGCATTCGTCCACCCGGCAGGGTCTACCAACCTGAGGAGTCCGGCGTTTCCATTAGGAAGCCCAGCTAATAGTAAGGCAATACTAGGATCCACCACCGTGCTGGTATCAAACTAGTCGCATGGTGGCAAACCTCCCTCTGATCCCCAAGGGCCGCGACTGTTTGTGGTGGTGAAGACCTGTGGCAGACCATACTTTGGCCATGCTGACCTCGGGACTCCAGGGGACCAAAATGGCTAGCGTAGCAAAGCTCTAAAAAACGAAAATTATGCTGGGTCCGCACAACCAGACCATCCAAGTATCTAGGTAAGCATAGAACGACTTCGTTTTAGGCACTTGCGGTTAATTGCCTAGGTACAGAGCAAAGGAAAAGCAGAAAATCCTTCCCATTCAAATCCGAAAGCAATTTGAAATCGTGATGATTAAAACTCCCATGGCATAAACTCCCAGGATTTTGCAGATCTAGAGAGCCAGTTGTTTTCAAATCTCGCAGGCGTTTTTCAAGGAATAGTGTTAGTGATTTTCTTCGTATTTTTGTTGAGCAAACGCGAGGTGTTACTATTCTTTGTTCACGATTAAGCTGACGCTTCGGCGAATTTCGCCTTCTTCAGAGCCTGGAAAGGTCAAGTTGATAGCAACTCACTCGGCCAGACGCCTCCATAACCAAACAAAGAAACTCCAAACCAAGATTTCAATCACTTTGAACACAGCTCTGCACACAAGTATGTGTCACGATCCTCGCACGCGAATCAAGAACGCAGGCGCGAAAAACCCTCGAGGCACTCTGGATTAATTCCAGAAATCCGAAAATGAACCGCAGGGAAGAATGCCTCATTATCACGCGTGATAGAGGACAGTATATAAACCTGCTATTCTGATGTGAGGGGCACATTATACTTCCACGTGATTTCTGTGCGGTTGGTCTCTACGTGACATACTTAGTGGAAACCTCACATGATGTGAGGGGCACATTATACTTCCACGTGATTTCTGTGCGGTTGGTCTCTACGTGACATACTTAGTGGAAACCTCATAGAAAGTGGTGAGTGTGCAAAGCTGTGTTCAAAGTGATTGAAATCTTGGTTTGCAGTTTCTTTGTTTGGTTATGGAGGCGTCTGGCCGAGTGAGTTGCTGTCAATTTGACCTTTCCAGGCTCTGAAGAAGGCGAAATTCGCCGAAACGTCAGCTTAATCGTGAACAAAGAATAGTAACACCTCGCGTTTGCTCAACAAAAATACGAAGAAAATCACTTGATCAATGCCGAGGTTAATAGAAAGTCGGTCGTGGCAATAGTGTTAGTGTTTTTGTTCTGTTTTGTGTGAAATAAGGATGTTCTTCAAGATTTACTCCTGTAGTTCATTTCCGAAATTAAACAATGTATGTCGAATCTAAGTCGAACAGGGCACGTGTTTCTTAAGCGGCTTCCTCTATCATTGCTGAATATCGTTGTCTTGCTCTAAACTTTTGCTCGATTCCGTTGCGATACACTCTAAAATATCACTATTTATAATACTCCTTTGGAATTTCCGTATCAAACAGAGGTGTGTTTAAGTCGGTCTTTCAAATTCACAGTATAGGTGAGTAGCAGAACGTCTCTTAAAGATGAAAGTCTTCATTCTTAAAGTCTGTTTTTGTTCCTTTGAAGGGACGACGTTCTGAGAATGCTTCGTCTCTTCTTCAGTTTAAATCATAACTTTTCTTAATCTGAGTGTTTCGTAGATCCGAGTAAGCATGCAATAAAATTCGTACCTATCGACTGAATGCATACAGATGCTGCAGAGTCTTCTGATGGGCGTTTATAGTTAGAATCTAGCAATCCCCTTTTCTCACGAAAGTGACTGCAAGCTTTCCACGAATACTACAAAAACAACGGAAAGAGGGAGTGTAGCCATAGTTTTCGTGCACCCATGGAGCAGTTAGCAAAAGCAACGACAGATGGAAAAGTCGACGAAATGGTGGAATTGAGCTGGGAACATAGGCGGCATGAAATTCATGCAGCTCTCCTGAATGTCAGCGAACGCGCGTAGGTTAGACAAGATCCCCTGCAATGCGCTCTTGGTCGATCACGGTTTCGATCCCTCACCCGGGCTCACCAAGCCTTCTATCCTTTCGGGATCGGCAAATGGGTACAAAACTTGCTTGGGAAGATGGGAACGCTGACCTGATACATCAGTAGTTCATCGCAAATCACTGCGTAAGATGACGAGCATTAAATCACCTGTGCAAGGCTGAATGAAGACGGATGCATGGCGCATCCTTTAGGGACTGATGAAAAGATTTATCCCTTCTCCTGGTGAACATAGCCAAACGACTTCAAATGTCGTTATTTCCGAAGCAGGCGTATGCCCATCAAACTTTGCTGCTATAACCGAAGGGAGACCGCGAATCGTATTCCTTGCGAAGATGAAGCAAGCCTCAAGCGAAACCCGTTCATATTCTATTACATGCTTACCCTAAATTAATCTCGGCCTATGAATAGTCTACAGCCTTACCGCACACCTTCAACAGCCTCGATGTAGTTCATTTCCCAATCGTACGGATCGCTCATCTTGCGATCGCCAACGAGTTCCTAAAGGCAATTTGACAAAATATTTAAGAATAGTACAAAGGACCTAGCTAACCCAAAGCGATCTTTGGCTTGCATGAGCAGAGCAGATTTTCTAGGACGATTTCGTGAAAGTACGCTCATTTATGAACCTAATACTAAGTACTTTACTACCTTCTAAAATACCTCTTCATACAAACGATTTGGGACATACTGTGAGCAAAGCTTGCAGAGCAGCGTAGTTCGGCTCCTCCTCCGTACTCAGACTAAACACGGCACGTGCAAATTCTTGAAATGAATCAGTTGTCAGCGAGAGGAATGAAGTTTGTGGTGGCTCCGACTGCTGTAATAGATACATTTTCATGTTGGCATCTACATGTTTTCCATGATTGTATCTACTTATGGATTTCTGGGACCAAGCGTGTTGCAGCGAAATCTTTGATTTTAGGTCCTCCGGGTTTTAGCTGTGTTCATCCAGATTAAAACAGTGCATTTGGATACGAAACTTCTTAGGATTAATAATTTTGAAACCGACCGTCATTAAACCTCGGTAGTCAAATAACGAACACATGTTTATGGGTTGATAACCACGTGTGAGCTCAACAGTTTAAACACATGTTCTTAGGACTAGTTCTCAAATTTAGTTCTTGTGATATTTATGAAGTTTTTCCTAAAAAGAACTGTACTAAAACTACCAATTCTTGTTTTGCTCGTTTCACGTCCTCTCCCTTCACGATGTACTTCCAGGGTAAGTCGCCAATGAGTAGTTCAAGGCCTGGTATAAGACAGTGTTTCACTTACGTGACATCTGGACGTAGTAGTTGAGCAAACACTGTTCGCATGTTATTTCACGATCACTCAATTCAGTGCATAGTGCATTATAGTATTGGTGTTAAAGTGCAGGATTATCGAATTGGGGAGGCAGGTATACCATTGAATAATACACATATAACGCTCCTTTGGAAATTAACAGGGCTTCGCAATATCTGATTTCCTTCATTAGTATATGTGAGATTCCTCACGGTACAACTGTCATCAAGCAGTCGACTGACTTAATAACAGTACTGCAATCAATCATCACGGAATCGCAATCGTTCTGGAAGACTCCGAGTCGCAGCCGACTTCCTTCCAATTTTCGAGGATTGCAGGTGCATACCAAATAAAATCACCCTCAACTAGCGCTCAACATGATAAAACAGGAAATAACAGCCCCGAATTTGAGCTGAAGCTACATACCAAGTCGACAACCTCCATGAATAACAGTTCTATGGCAACGAGACGAGTATGATTTGCTGGGAACCAAATGACGTATGAATATAGGTCATCTGAGTACATAGGTATTGTAGACGAGCCTAACCTGAGTAGACTAAGGAGACGAGGTCATCAGCGGGCCCTTGGTCGACGCGATCATGTACTCGAATCGACACATAGCGTACTGTTCCCCTATAAGTGAAGGAAATTTTCTTTGTTTTGAACAATTTGAAATTTTAACAATCACCGTTACCTGAACCCTGCTTTGGGTCTCAGTGGGCGTGTTGTACCATCTATATTTTTATACCTTCGAACTAGTCCAAAATCTACTATAACAAGTATGTGACGAGTCTGCAATGCCTTATGAGAAAAAATGAGATGGAGGTGCTCTGCGAAGTTCGAAGCTTAAGGAAATAACATCAATTCTTATCCTTAAACCCATTATTCTAGCAAATTTATTACGACGCTAGTTTTTCATTGTTCTCCGTCCTTTATTTTCTTCAAGGAAACCGATAAATCCGTTCTGTGGAAAACCCATTTATCTTCTAGTTAAATGAAACATCGGTGCGCCATACATCTCTGCTCTTTATGGAACGTATTGTTTTTTGAAAAAGTTAAGGAAGTAAGTAGGTAGAGCGATATTTTGGAGGTCATCTTTTACGCAATAGTCCTCAGATGGAAATTGAAGCAATCAAATTACGTTCCTTTCGGTCTAAGATAGAATCAATCCGTCAGGAAATGAAACAGTAAAACGTACAATTAGTGTGTTATATAAAACCCGTAAACGCAATAGAAGAAGAAAGCGACTAGGCTACAAACGAGATTGGCGCTTTTTGCTCACCATGAGTTGGCCTCAAATCATATTTGTGTGAAAAGAGTTATGCCTTCAACGTCGAACAAACATTTCTCATCTCATAACGAACTTCACCAATTGTTGAAAAATCCGTTAGAACTTGTACATATTGGCCAACAATAAAGGCACGTGTGGCGCAGTGGTCGGAGGCGCTCTGCAACACACACGTGGAATCGATCCCCACACCCAATGGCCCACCAAGCTTTTCATCCTTCCGAGATGGGCAAATTGGTACCAGACCTGTCTGGGAGGATAGCAGCTCTGGCTCGATACATCGGTAGGTCACCGCGAGTCATTGTAAAGGCCTGATATGCGTTCAATCACCTCCAAACGATGCTTTATGAAGTCGAATGCACGGCGCACCCCTCAGCGATTGATCAACGCCGAGAGCTTTATCCTTTTTATTGGCCAACAAAGTAAAAAATTGCTGATTTCTTGCCAAGGAAGTGCTTGGTTTTTCAAAACAGTGAATCGTTGCCGTTTTCGCTTTTTCGTTGAAGTTTACATTTCAACCAAAGAAATGTTGGATGCAAAACGGAATTTCCTCAACGAAGACAGCATACTGTAACCCTATGTAGGTCGTCGATTTTGGTAGACGTTGCGCTTACGTTTACAGCTTCCAAATTTGTCAGCTGGGTATCCTCAAATACGCTAGTGATCAAAAAACCAACACGATTCCGAACGTGTTAGTGATGCCGAAGTTCACTAAAGATGTTAAGGGATAAATGCAATCCAACGCCTATAATATTTAAATCAGGTAGCTGCGAACACTTAGAACTCTTTTAGAAAGCTTTGTGTAAGTGAAATGACGGTTTCCTACCATATATTAAATTTTCAATGATAATGAAAAAGAAATAAGCTATGAAGTCATGCCTGTGGAGAAATCCCGAAACACATGTTAGCTGGCTTCACGTCCCTATGGATGTATCCGCATAGATGAACATCACGCAATCCAGCAATTGCCTGTATCACATTCAAATTTGTCACTCCACTCTCCTTCCCTTGTTGGCACACTTGGTGATGTGACATGTTGACCTCTTCTATATTCTATTTTACCTTTCATGTCTTATACATTCTCTGCAACGAATGTTCTCCATCGGCAGGAAACGGTTTATCAGCACCACCCACCGATCAGTAGGCGTCAGTTACACAGCAGGCGTCGGCATGCTTCACTATTACTCAAACTATCGCTACGTCCTCGTATCTGATTTCCCTTTTATTGACGGCAATACTTATGAGTGAAAACGGCTAACTTGTTGCAAGATCCGTCCCACGCTGCTTCTTCCAAGACGTTTCACGGGACTTTGCTTTTTCAAATCTCCGATGTTCACGCTGAGTAGTTGCATCACTGAATTTCAACATTCTCTGTTTCAGTGTCATATGGGTTTTTCCACATCGGTTATGAAAAATCTCATCGGAAAATTGTTGACTCAGGATGTTGTGTTCCTGTAAAGACTTACCAATAAAGTTGATTTTGTTATCGTTGCCAGAAGCGATCATCTTGGGTACGTGTGGTCTGCCTTGTAACCGAAGAAGAACCTTAGATTTAAAAAAGTTGGTTGGATTTTTAGTCTATTTCCGATTACACACCAATACCTTTTGCTCCAGGATCATTCGTTTTACGAGTCTTCCTTTTCTTCTCTTTGGTTCCACTTTAATGGCTACTTCATCCGAATTTCTAATATCAATTGCATAGTAAATCTCTCCGTATCCGCCATGACCAATCATGCCCTGGGAGTTCACGCTCATAAGAGCCAACCACTGGTGAACGAACATTATCAGGTTTTTTTTAATCAATTGAAAAAGGGTTACCTTAATTAACCATCTATCTCTCAACGTTTCTTCAAGTGAAAGCAGCGTTTGCCCACATGTGCTCTTCTTTATCTTTGGAGCCAGTTTGTGGAATAATGTTGGTTTAATAGAACTGAATCATATTGTGATAAAAGACAAATGAACAACTGATGACGTTAGATTCAATGGCTGTGCCCTCATGTACTTTACATATCTTCGTGCTTTTATACCCCTATATTACATCTATATTTTTTCCTTTACATTTTAGGTCCATATATATATCCATGCTACCGTAACGATGCTGAGATATTTGCAAAACTCTGGACCTCAGGTGTTTGCAGTGGGGAACGAACGCGCTATTACCCTTTCCGAGGACTAACGCGTTCACAACCACACCATGCGGGTCCTTCGTTTCGCCTGTCTCTCGGATAGTTTTTATCGATCAGTGCCGTCAGCAATTACCCGTCAACGGGATTCATCCGGAAGCCCAAATCGGCATTGTATATATCTGTACTTTTGATGACAACGTAGAGAGTCCAAGTTATGGTCAAATCCATGCAGATCGTGTAAAATATGACCTTAAACAATAGATTTGATGTTTACACTTTTTAGAGCATGTGAAGAGGATTTCTCTATTTCTTATTTCTTACCTTCTTGAAGCACATTTACACCTCATTTTAACCATGTTCGGCAAAAGGGCTATCATTCTCCAGACTCTGAGAGAGTCTTTCAAATGGTTGGCGAAGGACTGGTGCGGAGAGTCCATAGTCCCACCTTTGCCACCTTCGGTGTTCATTGAATTACTCCGCCTTATTTTAGTTAGTATAGTCTCGATTTCTTTGCACCTCGCACTATACATGTCCGGTTAGCTATGCGTGTTCAAGGGATCGGGAGACCAGCACCCTTTTTGACATGAAATTTCTCAAACTCCGCGACAACGTGATCAAGAATGGCCTTATCAGTTTTGCCAAAGAATAAGTTTGTTTTTAATTCGGTTTTTTTGTGGAAATGTCTAACCCTGTCAATGTGATAAGGTGTATAAATGATGGGATAGAGTGCGCCTAGGCTACCGAATCTGGGAGGGCTATAGTGATGGTGTACAAAATGTGTGCACCCGCACAAACCCCCATTGAGGATCTGGTGGTGGAGGCTAGGAATGCCGACTACGAGGTCATCAGCTTCAGCACAAAAAGAAAACCGAGCAAAAGACTTGGCCACTCCAAACAATCTTATAGCGCATCCACCAAGGCATCGGGTAAATTAACTCATACCATTCGCAGCATCTCAATAAAGGGTGGGTCTCTTCTAGTATTCAATTCAGTTTCTTCGATTGCTCCTACAACAATTTGTATTATCTTATCTACAATTTGTATACCAATCCATGTTTGTATCTGCAACTCTTCTTTGTGAAGAAAGCAAGAACCAAAATATCATCCGTCATTTAATTGAATTTGCGGTAGAATTCGTAGTCGATTCCACAACATACGACAGAATTTATTTTCTGGTACATCTTGTAGGAGCTCGCACGTCCGACTTTCTATTAACCTCGGCATTGATTGAATAATTCTTTCTACTTTTGTTCAACAAACACGAGGTGCTACTTTATTTCTTTATTTACGTACAAGCTGACGTTTCGGCGGATTTCGCCTTCCTCAGAGCCTGGAAAGGTCAATTTGACAGCAATCTATTCGGCCATACACCTCCATAACCAAACAGAGAAAACTCTAAACCAAGATTTCAATCACATTTAACACAGCTCTGCACATTCACCGCTTTCTATGAGTCTTCCACCGAGTATGTCGCGTGAAGACCAACCGCACAGAATTCACATGGAAGCGTAATGTGCCCCTCCCATCAGAATAACAGGTTTATACACTGTCCAATATCACGAGTGATAATGAGGCATTCCTCCCTGTGGTTCATTTTCGGATTCTTGGAATTAATCCAGAATGCCTCTAGGGTTTTGCGCGCTTGTGTTCTCGATTCTTGCGCGAGGATCATAACCCCTACTTCAAAATCTTCTCCGTTATGTCTCTGCGTCCTATGCGTGCCTAGTGGAGTATTTGGTTTACGTTTGCCGACTTGGTGTTATTTTATATGGACGCAGAGTGGTCTACCCGTTTCACCAATGTATTCGTCTCCGCACGCTTTACAGGAGATCAGACAAACTGTACCCAAACTCATGCAGTCACCTTCTCTACCATTGGGACAAGTTATGCAACTTTGCGTTGCACATCGACGGTCGTACAGACTGTTACGAACTAGCTGGCGCCTTAGATTACTCGGTGGTATTTCGATTATCGTTACCGAATTCTCTAGACCAGCCCTTCTTAAACAGCGTTTCATATCTGCACTTAGTTCATTTGAAATGAAGAGCAGTATAAACGAGACCTTATTGTCACTAGAGTAGTCTTTGGCGTACCTGTAGTTTCCTCTACACCTATCTCGAGCTACGGTTTCGTAGCCATTAAAAATGACTATTTGCCGCGCCACGTTCCGGGACTCCTCTTTCTGTTGTCTTCCTGTTCACACGCTGGTAGCTGTTCGAAACATGTTTCTCACAAGCGCCCTTTTTGTGTGAGAGGGGTGAGAGGAAAGGTAATGAACGAAGATGTTTTTACTACTTGGCTTTCGATACCATTTCGTAATGTAGCCGTTTTCTAATAGGTTAATTTGCACGTTCAAGAATGGAAGCCAGTGTTCTTTTGGTTTCACTCGGGTGAATTTTATATACTCTGACTGTTCGTTCAACAACTCGAAGCATCTGCCAATTTCTTCTTGTGTTGAACAAATGACCAAGCAATCATCTATATATCTACAGTAAAGTAACGGCCCGAGATCGATTACTGGTGCTTCCACATTAGACATAAATGCAATGGCAAGGCTTGGTGCCAGTCGTTGTCCCCTTGCCAACCCTCTCATTTGTGCGTGATACCTCTCGGACCATCTGAAAATTGAGCAGTTTAGGCACTCCTTTAAGAGTGTCTGCAACTGCTGAATCGAGAAGCCACACATGTTTATTGTAGGGGAAATCGGGGACACCTAAACGACAACTCTAGCGACATTAAGGCTTCATTTATACTGCCCTTCATTTCAAATGAACTAAGTGCAGATAGCAGTGCAGATATTCCCCTACAGTAGAAAGAAATATTCTTATCTAACGTTTCTTTACAATATTTACAGTACCAGTTGGAAATGAAGTGAGAATTGTGAAGAATTGAACATTATGCCCTTTCTATTTCTTTTCTGAATAGAGCACGATGTTTCCTCGATAACTAAATTACGTGCAGGAGTTACCATCTGATAACCACTGACATGCTTTTTTTATTTTTTTATTTTATATGATCCGTCATTTTATGCCAGAATTCTATCGAGCAGAACCCACTAGGCTACTCTTGTATACGATAGGGAAAAATGGAAGACTTACTGGCACTCATTCGAGTCACTTGGCGATCAACGGGATTACAGGTGATACAGGTGATATGATCCGTCTTCACGTCTACTGCACGGGTTCCAGCACTACTCGCATTCGATTCGTATCCTCGCACCCATCATCCACGAAGATCTTCCAACTTTTACGTGTCGCTTCGATTGCTGCTTGAGGATTTCCATTTCATTTTGAATGTCGTAGAATGCTGGTCGTGCAATTCTCCCTGGAGTCATGAGGGAGCCGGGCTGGAGCGTTCCCAATTGGACCGCAAAGGGCGATTTTTTCCCCGACAAGTCCGGTACCAATTTGTCGACCCCGAAAGGTGAGAGGCTTGGTTGGCCCGGAGCAGAATCGAACTGCCACTATGCTCGTGATATGACCATAGAACATCATAATTCATTTAGCTTGAATTACACGTTAAATACTCGTCTTCGTTAATCATCGATATATCGAAGCAATCTTTCGTCCTTATCTGTTCTCTTTATGTTTCGATTGCGTGCCTTGTTAACGTATTGGTAATATAAGAAGTTTATTTAGCCAACGCAGCGACCTTATTGTGGAGGCGTCATGTAAGTCCTTTGTGGAAGCACGCGATCGACCCAGTAATCCGAATATTCCATGGCAATACTCTTACTGGGGAATATTATGGTGAAATCGTGCTTTTTGTTCGTTTTCAACAAACGGAAATAAATTTGACACAAGCGATTTCATACCTACTTATTTTATCCATTGCTTGTGGTTTTGAGCGCCCAGTCTGTTCTCATATATTTTCTTATAATTCCATATGATGAAGACGTGATGGTATCTAGCTCTTCTCTTGAGATCATTCATAGTGCTCAGAAATCTACATGTACGTGAAAGAAACCCTTCTGGTATTATAATTGTTCGTACTATGACTAATAGGAGAGCGGATAGCACAGTAGTAGTGATGTCGGTTATCACGAGCATGGAGCTAGTTCGACTCAGCTCCGAGCCAACCAAGGGTCTCATCCCTCGTCGACAAATTGGTACCGGAGTTGTCCAGAAAGAAACTTACTCTGTGCAATCCAAATGAAAACACTCCAGCCCGGTTATCTCAGGTCTCCAGGGAAAATCGACTCGACCAGCATTCTACGACATTCGAGACGAAATGAAAGCCTCAAGCAGCAGCCGAAGCCACACGTAAAAGTAAGACGACCTACGTCGATGATTGATAGGAGGAAACGGAATGAATATGAGAACTGCTGGGATCCGCACAGTAGACGTGAAGAACGGTCATATAAAATAAAACAAATAAATAAGTATGACGAATGATCGCATCATGGTAAATTTAGCGTTTACAATTTCCTTTCATAGGTGGGATGATTGATGCACAATATTAGAAGTCATCGGTTAGCGGCTAAGTTTATAACCACTTCGTATTTAGAGCATCTAGCAACACTGAAGAAAAAGGTGCATCTGCAGCTAACATTAATCTCCAAAGCATTCTGTACTTTGGTAATAAAAATTGCTGAATATCTGACACAATAGTGCAGTTGTTACATTTTACAAAGCGTACTATACTGCTTTCGATTTC